TAGCGTCAATTAAGCTCTTGTAGGCTCGGGAAATGCAACCTAGCCGCGTAACCACATACCTAATGTCAGAGTCAATGAAGTTCTTGTAGACTTAGGCAACACAGGCTAGCATCGTAACCCCATACCTAATGTCAACGTCGATGGAGCTCTTGTGAACTTGGGCAACACAGACTAGTGTCATAACCGCGTACCTAATGTCAGCATCGATGGAGCTCTTGTAAACTTAGGCAACACAGGCTAGCGTCGTAACCGCGTACCTAATGTCAGCGTCGATGGAGCTCTTGTGAACTTGGGCAGCACAGGCTAGCGTCGTAACCGCGTACCTAATGTCAGCGTCGATGGAGCTCTTGTGAACTTGAGCAACAATCACTCTCTATATATATCTGACATGGTATGAATCACATACCATGCATGACAGCGGTGACCCATATCTTATCGAGGATGGGCAGAATTGTAGTGTATTAGCGCTCGTCGCTCGTATTGCATACTTCGCGGACTTGGGCAACATAAGCTAGCATTGCGACCGCACAACTTATGCTAGCGTCAATTAAGCTCTTGTAGGCTCGGGAAATGCAACCTAGCCGCGTAACCACATACCTAATGTCAGAGTCAATGAAGTTCTTGTAGACTTAGGCAACACAGGCTAGCATCGTAACCCCATACCTAATGTCAACGTCGATGGAGCTCTTGTGAACTTGGGCAACACAGACTAGTGTCATAACCGCGTACCTAATGTCAGCATCGATGGAGCTCTTGTAAACTTAGGCAACACAGGCTAGCGTCGTAACCGCGTACCTAATGTCAGCGTCGATGGAGCTCTTGTGAACTTGGGCAGCACAGGCTAGCGTCGTAACCGCGTACCTAATGTCAGCGTCGATGGAGCTCTTGTGAACTTGAGCAACACAGGCTAGCGTCGTAACCGCGTACCTAATGTCGGCGTTGATTGAGCTCTTGTGAACTTGGACAACACAGACTAGCGTCGTAACCCCATACCTAATGTCAGCGTCGATGGAGCTCTTGTGAACTTGAGCAACACAGGCTAGCGTCGTAACCGTGTACCTAATGTCGGCGTTGATTGAGCTCTTGTGAACTTGGGCAACACAGGCTAGCGTCGTAACCCCATACCTAATGTCAGCGTCGATGGAGCTCTTGTGAACTTGGGCAACACAGGCTAGCATCATAACCCCATACCTAATGTCAGTGTCGATGAAGCTCTTGTGAACTTGGGAAACACAGGCCAGTGTTGTAACCGCATGCCTAATGTCAACGTCAATAGAGTACTTGTCAAAGCTGCAATGTCAAGCTCGGCCTGCATAAGTTAATCACACTGACACGACTTGATACAGCGCTGGCGCCCTTGGGCTGTAGGTGATGCGATCCAACACAATCCGGCCATATAAATCTTTATCAGATGCTGAAATCTGTCCAGAGACTGTGAAAGGCGCAAAAACAGTCAATGCTTGTGTATGATTATCACGGTAGAGCAGAATTGTAGTGTTTTGACACTAACCCTCAACTAGGCGATATTTGTCACTCTCGACAACTTTCCCACGGCTGGTGGGTGTGGCAATATTACACCATCTCGGTGATGGCAGGCAACTAGACTGCCATGATTGTGTATTTGGCGGGTTCTATCCAAGTAAGTCCGGGTATATAAAGCTTTCTCACGTGGAGTACAATTCTGATAGATACTATGTAGTTTTTAGAACAGGTAAAGCTATCTAAGAATTTATCATTTTCGGGTCAATTACCTGATGTAGTTCAGGTTTTGTGCCCTGTACGACGATGAACGTTAGTTCAGGTTTTGCACCCTGTATGACGATGAACGTTAGTTCAGGTTTTGCACCCTGTACGACGATGAACGTTAGTTCAGGTTTCGTGCCCTGTACTATGATGAATGTTAGTTCAGGTTTCGTGCCCTGCACTTAGGTTTTTGTCTCACCAGATGTCATTGATCACCCCTAGTAGATGCGCCTTCTGTTCAACATTTGTTGCATTCTTGAGCATGCCTGGAAGCTGTGCAGGTGCCACTGGTGTCATGACTCGCATCAGCAAGTCACTGAGGATCATTTGCAAGTAACGCATGGCTGACCTGACTGCCGCACCCCAAAAGTCCTCCCTAGATATGATTTCAGAGCCGCCAGTAGTTGTATGCAAAAAAAAATGTACTGCATTGTAGTCACCTCCATGGATTAACTTGCCTGAGGAGCGCACACCTGTTCAATCAGAGGGTCATGATGAAGGGACCGTGTAGCAAGGTTCAACTGCTGTTGCTGAACAGGTGGTGAATAAGGTGGCAGCAGAGGCTGTTCCGCGAGCTAAGTGCAGCTAAGTGAAGATTTGGGTGAGCTAAGTGAGAGCTAAGTGCAGGACTCACAGGTAAAGGCGGTAAACTTGGTAAATGTGTAAATGTGTAAATTTCAGGCTGTGGGCTGCTGCATCTACTAGTTAGCTGGAAGGTAAATTCATCTATATGACACACAATTACAATATTCAGTTCCCACATTCACACAATGGGAGGGCTTAAGTCGGCCTTATTGAATTCAGCTGCAGCATTCCTGAGCATGTGCTGCTGCTAACTGTGCAACCAAGCCTAAGCATGACAGAGTCAGAAACTAGCAGATGGTATGGGACCATATCATAGCGGCGCGAGCGCCAATCCCGGACTCCACTTGAAGACACTGAGACAAGATATGATTCGCAGATATTTGTAAGACAACAATGTATACAGTTTGAGCCAAGATAAAGAAGTCACCAAGAAAAATGATCGCTTCAACCTACTCTCAAAGTATTCCCACAGTTTATTCCTACACGAGTGTTCGATCGTCACCTGACACAAGCCACATGGCACTTTTTCCTTGAGTGACATCATCACTCGAGGAAAAAGTGCCACGTTTTCTTGATCACATGACTGCGCCTTCCGTTTTGTAAGCGTAGATGGCCAAATATAAAAATTCAAAATTCAAAAATACCCTGGTGCGTTTGCAGGAAGCTAGGCATTTTGACGCAACAGAACCCTCTTCCACTAAAGTGGAGTCGGGGACCAATATTGATGTTGATATTGTTCTTTGGAAGCGGCGACGAAATCGAACCATCATGAAAGGAAGTGCTTAGTCAGCGATCGCTCAAACTACGCGAGGTTCTGGTACTGGGACCTAATTTACGACGTTTACCTTGGCTGGGTGAATTTCGTCGTTTAAATCGACTTAACAAGTTATCCTAAACAACTTATGCATTTGACTCACCGAGCCGCCGACTATTTAAAATATACATACGTCAGCTGGAGCTGGCTATGTACAACTGAGTCCAGGTGGATGCAGCTAAAACGTAGATAGTACGCAGGTGAGAGTGGCTCTAAGTCCAAGCCATTGTTGACACCGGTGGTAATTTAAAGGGTCAAATTTCCGACATCGTAGAAGTTGGTTGATATTTGATGGCTTCGACGTGGCTGAAACCTTAGGTACCCCCAGATTCTAAGCCATTTCTAAGCCGTCGGAATTTTTGGACAACACGCAGTGACATCATCTATAGACTTCCCATTATATTTGCATTCTGCATTCCCTGAATGTTCCAGCTGGCCAGTCAACGAATTCAACACAAAGTCTCCCAACTTGGTGCACGTGGAATCTAGACCAGTCCGAGTCCAGACAGTACCTAATATCTATAGTAGTGGTCCAGGTCATTCGGATATGCCCTATCATTGCGTAACACTTTCGAATGGTCCTGCATAGTATGTGATTTGGACTTTGTGAAGAAGTTCAAGATCAGAAGTAATCCTTGCTCCAACTCAACTTTGTTTGCCTTTTCTGATTGGTACTATTTTTCACGCAATTGACCAACAGCTGATAGCATCTTTCGATCGATCATGTTGGACTAAATGGAGCTCGACAGTTTAGACTGATACAACTTCTTGAAAAGACTACTACGGTGTGTACACGATGCTGGTCCGAGATTCTCAGTATTTGACGCATCCAATGTATGGACTCCTAGAGCATTCAAAGATCCCAGTCTCCTTTATGAGGGCAATTCTCTTCATGACTTTTATCATCGGTCTTGCCATCAATTTTGCCGCATTCCTGTTCTCTTGCTTGAAATAAAATTCCCTGGTCAACTAAATAATCCCTAAGCTAGGATCACTGCAGACGAGCCAGATTTCGTAACCTCGAACCCACCGCACAGGTGCCTGATCGGCAAATCTGTAAGTCAGAGTTTGGACGCGTTCCAGGTTGTGCAGGTGGAGCAGAAATGGCTTCAATAGTCCACCCCCCCCGGCCTTAACCTCCCTGTTGTCCAGCTGATCTCCGGGTCGGATGACGCGATGCCCGGCTTCCATCGTAATGTCCAGCTCCCACCAATCGATTGGTATGTCTCCTGCTCTTAGAGATTGGGGACTATGCAGCCACTTGATTTATCCGATCAATAGAAGCAAGTTTCTGTCCCATGACGCTCATATCATGAAGTCTGAGTGCAGGCTCTGGATCTGGTGGGTCGTTTACGCTGTCGAAAGCTTCGAGTTTGGCTTCTACTACTGTATTTCCAACTCAAACGACATTGTTCAAGGTCCCATACACCTCTTCCTCCAGCTCAAACCACGCTAAGGGACGATGGCGAGCCTGAAGTTGTCAAGACTTTCTGCCACCAATGCAGATGTACGCAAACCAGACCCAGGATGCAATGTTACAAACACTGTCTAGACCGGCAAATTTGCGGGAAACGATTTGTCGTCTTTCATCCGGCACAATCGTGTATGCTACATATCTTATCACGTCCGGCACTGGTAGATAGTCGCAATTCCGGCCATCCGAAGCCCTTTAAATGTTCTATCAAGCCTCGCTCTGCAAAAGCCGTCATGCTCATCGAGCAGAATGTTAATTAACAATTAGGCTTGCGAAGATGAAACCCACACATGAGGGTAATTGGGGTGCCACGTATCGTACCGTACATGTCTACACATATATTACTTCATCTTCTAAGAATAATTTATAGTGCGTGCTCCAGTATCAATTGCGCTCGCTGTCTTCATGAGAATCAGCCTGTAGTCTGCCACCTCTCCCTCCCTTCCTCCCTCCCTCCCTCCCCTTGATCAAGAGCACATTCAAGTCTGTCCAATGACTGCAGCCAGTAACGTACACCACTCTGGAATATTTGATACTTTTACATATATTCTATGTTTGAAAACAGAAATAAGATATGGTATACAAAACACGCTAACCAAACCATCCAATAATCTACGATTACCGTCTCCCAAGCCCACTCAGACCCCATGCAACCTTCGACTGCACGAAATCATATCCCCCCAATATTCTTAGCACTAAATCGCGGATGGACGCCCAACTGAACGGCATCCACCAAGCATATGAATCATACGTAAGACTTGCGAGTTTCAAAAGCGTCTTGGTAAAGCCGATGATTTCTAGCGCTCGTGCATGACGCGCCTCCGCAAATTCCTGCAAAATGGTATCATCCACATCGGGATCCTCTGCAGACGCTTGAATGTGTTTCGTGACAGCCTCTGCGAGGAAGATCGCGTCCCTGATGGCCAGGTTCATGCCCTGCCCGCCCGCAGGTGAATGTATATGGGCTGCGTCGCCGACTAGAAAAATGGCGGCTCCGAGACGCGTGAAGGTACGGTCTGCGATGGCAGAATGGGTTCTGAAACGTGTCGACCAGACCAGCTGGTCGACTTTGACAGGTCTCGGGTTAAGAGACGGATCCGATGTTATACACGCTGGCCCGTATGAGTCAATTAAGTTCTGGATGTACTCTTTCGGTGGAGTATGGGGGGGCTCTCCGTTCTTTGCAGGTATGGCACAAGCTACACGAAAGATGGATTTCGTAGTGGGCTTTCCATCTCGTGTCAGTTCGGTGTTGAAGTGGTTGCCAAACGGTGCAAGAAAAAATATATTGCCTGAAAAAACTGTGGCGTTGAGGTGGCCCTCCAGGGTGAATGGACCGACAGGTTCAGGCTCGAATGTGACATCTGCAGAGACCATCTGAGCCAATAGGTTATTGGTTAGGTCTGGGCCTTCTGGGTCAGAGAACCCGATACCAGCGACGGTACGGATCTGGAAATGATCGTCAGACATTCTACTAAGCTAAGTAGATGTCTCACGATTGAGCGGGCGCCATCTGCCCCGATAATATATCTAGCCCTGATAACTTGACCGTCCTCAAAGGACACATCAGTGATGCGAGAGTCCTTCTCATTCTGTTTCATTCCTACTACCCTGTGCGGACGCTGCACCTGAACACCAAGGCTCTGCAACTTCTGCCCAAGTACAAACTCGGTGACATTTTGAGGGATATAGAGCGCGTAAGGGTGGACGGAATGTTTCTTTAGAGGGTCAAATGTGGCGTCAAAGATCTGCAAAGTACGAGATGTGATTCTGATGCTCTTTCCCTTGATGGCTCGAGACAGTAAGCCATCTGCTGCATCAATACTGGCTAAAGCCTAAGATCACAAGAACATCAGTGGGCCTCTTTACGAACGCACAGGTAGCTTACCTCGACGGTTGCACAGTGTATGGTGATCGCCCTCGATGCATTCAGTCCTTCGCCTACGGCATCCACGATAACGAAGTCATGGCACCCGTAGTGGATGAGAGAAAGAGCAGTTGTGAGACCTGCGGGGCCTGCACCAACAATAAGCACGGTCGTGTTCTCGGGGAGAGACATCGTCTGTTTGGAGGATTTTGAGAATGATAATAAGTATGAGTGAGAAGATGGATGAGCTTCAGATGGCTCTTGCACCTGTTATTTAAGGCCACCAATACACACGTTATCTTAACAGGTGGTTCGTAAGGATGACTTGCTATCCCACACGGACTGCAACTGTCGGAGAATGTGTGGTCAGTAACCAAACTGGACTCGGAGTGACTGACGTTGTCCGATCCTGGTGAACTTGGTGACTCAATTTGTATCCAGTCAGGATCAACGGTTTACAACACGCCGGAGGTGAGACATTGTTCTCAGCACACATCTAAAAAGCCGAGTTGGTCGACGCTCGCTCTAAAGTGCTTTTGAGCATTTCATTTTTGGACTAGCTCAGGTTTGCGTTCGTAAAGCATACTTTTAGTTATATTACACCCTGAGCCGGTAATATCAGGCAATTTATGCAAAGATGCGTTATCAAGATTATCGAAAACAATCATTGTATTGATCTATGTTATCTACTCGTATAGTAAATCATCATCATCATCAGCCTCAATATTAGTGCGCATCTGCGATGGTCCAACTTCGAGCATATCAAGCTTAAAACTTTCCAGCGCCTTTTTATCTTCTCCATCAAGACCATCGAGGACGGCGATGACCTCAACGAATTTGTTGTAATGGACCAGACCTGTGAAGGGATCAATGGATGGCATCGGCATCCGTTGTTCCTGCAGTACACAGTAAACAGCCGCTACGGCAATCGCGATGATGTAGTTGATCTTCGTGAGGGGGGATTCGCCAAGGAAGGTTTCGTGTCGAAGATACCAAATGAACCGGATCACGACGTGCTTGATGAACGAATGGTCGAAATGACTGTGAACATGTATGTTACCATCCTAATTGAAAATTAGACATTTTGTTGCACCGAAAATGAATGCGCATACCGGATCAAAATGATGCGAGTGCATGACCGTCAACGAGCCTGTACGGGTAAGTGTCGTAGCTATATGCACCCGGTATTGAGTTGGTGTCCGTTCCGTATATCCACTCGGGCGGTATAGCTCGTACGCATGAGGTACACTGCTGCGAGCAATGTCGATAATTTTGCCGCGTGCATTTGTAAGTGCTTGGGATACAGAACGATATTGTTCTTTAGTGACTAGGGAATTGAATGAAACTATAAAGCCTGTTAGCAGCATGTAATGGATGAATCTAATAAAAAAACTCACCGGTCGACGAGAAAATTCTTGGGACTGCATCTAAAATGGCTTTCTTGATGAGGCGTTTCCGATCTGCTGCAGTTTGCGACATCGCATACTTCGTGAAAAGCCAACCAACAACCCCATGTTTCGCCTTGCATATGATTTGTTGACGGACCTCTTTTGTAGGCGTAATGTCTTGAGGCTGTGACGACGACGACAACTCCATCACAGAAGGCCCAGCGCGCACTTCGATGGCGACAGGGCTTTGCGCATCAGAACTCACCAGAGTTCGTGGAACCGCATATGGTGTTGAGGGCATTGACACCTGCCGGGTCACACGTCGTACGGTCCTTGCAGGCCCTGTAGTCTAGAGTCAAATGCGTCAGCAGGGTGCATCCAACAAATGAATCGATACTCACATGCACTACATCGGATGAAGGTATCTCACCTCTCTGCATTGTTGTTAGATCAGTTGGCTTGTATGCCGGCACTAGATGTACTCCGCGATCTGGCGCATGCCCAGTCCATCGCGACATGGGCAGGTCTGCATCTGTGTAGGGATCTGACCTCAAAGCGTCTGTCAGCGTCTGTCTACCTGGAATTGATGCTGTTAGCATTGAGGCATCATTGAGTGTGATCGGCGACCTACCAGCCTGACCATACAATGCGTCTATGTCAAAGTTGCCGTCGTCCCCAAGGGTAAAGTGTGGCGGTATCGAACCAGCTTAAGTGTCGGGCGTGTCTTCGTCAGCATCGAGAGTCCGCAGTTTCATAATTCACTCACAATGGCTCCCTTGCCCACCTCCACCTCGATCATACGGATCGAACATATTGTCGGGCATTCGTAGTCGTTCTGAGGGAATGTTGAGCTGATCGTTGGCTGGCTGTCCCGACGGATTAAGCCCTGATCCCCGAGATGGTTTTGGGACGGTAGCCTTGCTTTTGCGCTTGGTATTGGTACCGCGTCCAGTACCTTGCATTTGGCGAGCAGAATTAGTAGAGGGGAACGAGCAAGTCAGATACGATTGTAGTAGGGGAAGGAAACAATCAAGTCATCGGTTATCGATGTAACGGGCACTTTGATTCTGGTATGCAGGTAATAACACATACAAACTGTACAAGCTGTACAAAACGAAAGATCATAAGTGACGGGAAAAATTGATGAAACAGCGAAACGGCAAAGAAGCAGGGCTATCTACTAGATATGAAATCAGCGCGGGAGATCAGCCGTCACATGCGCATGTACATACCACGTTTGGAGATCTTATCAGGCCTCGAGGTCCGAGAAATCATCTAAATCATCCTCATCTTCTACGACCGAGAGCATGTTTAAGGGCGATTTGCTGGTAGATTCACTTGTGGATGCCGAGAATATATCATCGGAACATTTTCCTAAGATCTTTGAGACTTGTCGTGCCTGAGTAGATAGAGATCGGAGGATCTCGCATTCGTCATCGTAGACAGCTTGAAGGTAGTTGGTATCGTCTGCAACTTCTGTCAGGTTACGGGAAGAAAACCACTCTCTCATTTTCTCCAACTTGGCATCCTCTAACCCCAGGAACCGTTTACTCTCGACATGGAGTGCTTCAAGGAATGCTGTATAGCGCTCGGCCTCTTCAATCTCCCATGTTGTCGTCAACAGACGTTGGCACGCAGTCTCACGGGAAGCCAGCTTCGCTTTGTATGCCTTGTACAGAGTTGCGAGGCTCAATTGTGACAAGCCTCTCTCCGCTAGTTGTTCATTCTTGCAATAATTAACATGAGAATGAATGAACGATTGTAAGAAAAAATACCTGTTCAGTTTCTTCGGGAGTGAATTCTGGTTGGCGTACCCTCCCTGTTACACGAGCTGCAAACCGAAGCTCTAGTGGAGCTGGGTGGAGAGGGTATGGCTGATGTTTCCTGGACATTCGTTCCCGCAGGTACTGTGCACGAGGGGAAGCACCTGGAGGTGGAGTATCAGAATGCCTAAAGAATAGGCTCTCTTTGCCATCTGGAGGGCTCGGCACTTCATCCATAAAGGGGAGAGAACGGTGTGACCCAGTTGGAGAAAGCACAGAGATCATCGATTCGGGGGATTTGTCTGAGTTTATCTGCTTGGACAGAACGTGAATTCCGGATGATGATAAGCCTTTATATTTGGCGAGGTCATATGTTGATGATTCGACAAGAGTTCCACCGCTAGAAGCTCCGCTAGAATTAGAGGGACTGCTTGATCGAGGGGGGGAGCATGGAGGAGAGGATGTATTCATCATCCAGAAGTCGAGTATTACTGAGTACTTTGCTAATGATTCTGAGCAAATGCGCAGGTCAGCGGAGTTTCAAAGACTTGAAGATTATTTGCAGTGTGCTGCCAGAGTGTATACAACTTTATACCGCAAAGCAAAGCTTACAATGTGCGTACAATTTTTGCTCAACGAACAGACATACCTTCATACTTTGACAGGCTTTGTCCCAACTGTCAAGGAGCCTTTCCAACGATTGAATTAATCACAGCCCATCTCAATTCTCAGTCTACTTGCTGGCCATCCGATGCACGTCCACAAGAATTGCCTCTCCCTCCTGCATTTCGTCAAGGTAACCATCCGACTGGCTATATACCCGCTATTGGTCGTTGTCATCCACACTCTGGATACATTTTTGGAACTGGCAAAAACATGCTCGATAAGCTGGAAGACGATGAGTATGCATATCGGCGTAAGGAAAACACTTACTACCCTTTTCATGACGAAGCCGAATGGCAATTGGGGAAGTTCTTGGTCGAAAATCTTACTCAAACTCAGATCGCCAAGTTCTTGAAGCTGACATGGGTAACCGTGAACTTAAGCTCCTACCTTCAAGTCTGATCCTATGCCCACAGTTTGACACTCGTGAAAGACCATCTTTCACTTCGAAGGATCAACTCATAGGCTGGATGGATACGCTACCCTGCTTCACGGAGTGGAAAGTCTCTCAAATCGCATTCACCGGTTACAAGACATCTCAGCCTATAGAGCTCATTTGGCGCGATGTGTTAGATGTGGTCAAGCAACTTTTCAGCGATCCAACTTTTGCTAATCATATGACATTTGACCCACATGTCGTCCAAGCTGGAGATCAGCGCGAATATGGAGATTATATGAGCGCTGACATGGCATGGAAAATTCAGGTATATTTGCTGTCAGTCTACTGGTCGTAATTTGATGGATTTTCTAGGATCATCTTCCTATGGGCGCAACTCAAGTCCCAATCATATTAGGTTCCGATAAAACTCCTGTAACACGAGTCACCGGTGGGCTCGAGATGCATCCGGTCTTCATCACCATCGGCAATATCGACTCCGAAGTTCGCTCTAAGGCAACGTTACGAGCTTGGCGCTGTGTAGGCTATATGCCCATTGTCAAGTTCAAAGTGCATCCGGACTATCAGACAATCCTACAGGCACGACTATGGCACAAATGTATGGATCTCATTTTAGCCAATCTCAAGGCCGCAGCAGCAGAAGGCTGTTTCATGTCGGATCCCTTCCGATATATTCGTTATGTCTTTACACCTCTCATTGCTCATGTATGCGACCTGCCAGAGGCCAGTATGATCGCTGCAACTAGTAAAAGTGCATCCCCTCTGACCATGGCAACACAAAAGGAATTCGGTGATGGCACACTCCACCCCCCTCGTACTGGCCGGCATACGCTACAACTCATTGTCGACATATCCAAAACAATTGATCCTTGGGACCTGGACAAGTTCCAGAAAGCGGCTAAAGCCGTCTATCTTTCCGGAGTTCATATGCCATTTTGGCGTGATTGGAAGTACGCCTGTCCGTCTGTCTTCCTTGCTGCTGAAATCCTCCATACTTGCCATAAGT